TAGTAAGCGTACAAAAAATTTAACATGCATTTATGTTGAGACTGTCCGGATGATAAAATAACATGTTTGTATGAGCAATTCGAACTATCGTGAAAATAGAGCAATAAATTGTTTATGGGTATGACAGCGGAATAAATCGTGGAAATAAGTAATGTAGAATATAATAGAAATTGGTCTGTAGTGCCAATTGAATATGAGAATGAAGAACAGTGAAATATGATGTTCTGATAAGCCGCATTAGAGTAAATAGAGTCTCTTAGCGATGAGTGTATTCGAATTTACGTAACTGAAGTTTATGTGGGGTAAGAAGTAATCCAGCCGTAGGAAGATGACTGCATCAACAAGTGGTATTCATTGCTGTACTGCAATTGATTATGATAATAAAATGCGAAATCAGCGTGCGCTAACGCTTGCATTGAGTTGTCGTTAAATATGTATTAGTAGAATGACCAGAGGAACAGGATAGTGACTGCTTAGACGAGATATGCGGAGTCGTATTCCTTTTTGGTCTAGAAGCCTAGCGTGGTTTGTGTAGTTAGAGGGATATGCGCTCAACCTCATTTGTTACGAAACCGTTTTAAGGCATGATAAAAATACCAATACATATGATTGTCGATGACAGCGAGTGAGACTGACTTGAATGTGACGAACAAGAGTGTATCTTTGAGAGACTAGCTCTAAACTCTATGTTCTGGTGTACAGTACAATGGAAATAAAATATTAATTGCAGTAATCGAATTGTGATTATCGGTGATGGATGAGGCAGCATTCAGATATACATGTGAATGAATAAATAATATGAACATAATCATTACTAATCGGCTGGTAATGCGGCGTCAAATACTTGGTTTATGTATAGACATTAAAGTAGGGATCATCGTGAAACAAAAATTGCTGAAGCTCAGTTAAGGTTGTCGCGTAAAAAGTAGAAAACGACGATTGCTGAGTACCGATGAGATGAATGAACATCAGTTGTCTATCGAGAATATAAGTTCCTACTATCGGGAGTATGACTCCAAACTTATGTCTATGATAGAGTGTAATATTAAGCCGAAAATGACATTAAAAAAAATTGGAACGAACTCACCCGAATCAGGAAAAATTTTCGTCATTGGATAATAAAAATAATCCAGTGAGTTTCGAATATCATAACGTGTAATGTCCATATCATTATAATTTGTTCGATTAGTGATATGACTGCGTAAATGTCATAGTTTAATGTCAATACGAACAAAAATAATAATTCCACGTTAGATGATTATATGACATTATTGTAATAATGAGCATATGATGATTATTTGAATCATAACAGAATATGTCGTCGACGGTTCCATCTTTGGTTTGTGTTCGCTCGTTGCGGTCGCCAATTCTGTTGCGTGTTCCAAATACAGCTAACCAATATGTTGAGTGTTCGTTCGGCAAGGCATCCAATTTTGTTACGTGTTCGCATGTAGGGCTAACCAATATGTAGCCGTACGTTGAGGTTGCCAACTTTGCTTCGCGTTCGTAATTCGGGATCGCCAATAGTGTTGCGTGTTCGTACGTCGGGATTACCAATATGTAGTGTAGTGCTTCGTTAATCGATCGTCTTGATAACCGTTATTATAACAATCTGAACGGTGTATAATATCAGAAGACAAAGGGAAGCAGCAACTACATTTTTATTGATAAATAACATGGGCTAGAAGGCAGTGAGCACATTAGCAAATGTAAGCAAGCGAAGGAAAGATGACGCAGAGTGGAGATGGCTGGGAAGCCAACTCGTTATAAGCAAGCATTAATCAACATTTATAGTCAGGCTAAAATGAATGACAGACATGTGATAGGTAGGATAAGAAGGGTGCATACACATGCGCTCATATTAAAAAAATAGTCAAGGTCAATAAGCGAATAATTAACAAGATCAAAATATGACTCATAACGTTATAGGTGAATTGGCTTGTCCAGAAACTAGAATAAGCTATGTAGGTGTAATATAGTACACGACGTTACACTACTCCCCACATAGCTCCCCCCAGAGTGTCCGGAGGAAACACTGTTATGCAAAATAAACAAGGGGGAGGAGGTGTATATGCGTTCACAAAACAAAATTAAAGTATTAGCACATTAATTTGAAAATAACACTGAAATGGCATATGGATAACGTTAATAATAGGTAGAGAAAAAAATTGTACTATATCGAATATGTTACAGTGTCAATCGAGGGGCGAGTTTATTAAACGAAAGTGTCACACTTATGTGAAAATGTACATGAAAATTGTCAAAATGAGGACAGAAATGGAAATGTTGGCATGTGATTATGAGTAAATTAGTAAGCGTACAAAAAATTTAACATGCATTTATGTTGAGACTGTCCGGATGATAAAATAACATGTTTGTATGAGCAATTCGAACTATCGTGAAAATAGAGCAATAAATTGTTTATGGGTATGACAGCGGAATAAATCGTGGAAATAAGTAATGTAGAATATAATAGAAATTGGTCTGTAGTGCCAATTGAATATGAGAATGAAGAACAGTGAAATATGATGTTCTGATAAGCCGCATTAGAGTAAATAGAGTCTCTTAGCGATGAGTGTATTCGAATTTACGTAACTGAAGTTTATGTGGGGTAAGAAGTAATCCAGCCGTAGGAAGATGACTGCATCAACAAGTGGTATTCATTGCTGTACTGCAATTGATTATGATAATAAAATGCGAAATCAGCGTGCGCTAACGCTTGCATTGAGTTGTCGTTAAATATGTATTAGTAGAATGACCAGAGGAACAGGATAGTGACTGCTTAGACGAGATATGCGGAGTCGTATTCCTTTTTGGTCTAGAAGCCTAGCGTGGTTTGTGTAGTTAGAGGGATATGCGCTCAACCTCATTTGTTACGAAACCGTTTTAAGGCATGATAAAAATACCAATACATATGATTGTCGATGACAGCGAGTGAGACTGACTTGAATGTGACGAACAAGAGTGTATCTTTGAGAGACTAGCTCTAAACTCTATGTTCTGGTGTACAGTACAATGGAAATAAAATATTAATTGCAGTAATCGAATTGTGATTATCGGTGATGGATGAGGCAGCATTCAGATATACATGTGAATGAATAAATAATATGAACATAATCATTACTAATCGGCTGGTAATGCGGCGTCAAATACTTGGTTTATGTATAGACATTAAAGTAGGGATCATCGTGAAACAAAAATTGCTGAAGCTCAGTTAAGGTTGTCGCGTAAAAAGTAGAAAACGACGATTGCTGAGTACCGATGAGATGAATGAACATCAGTTGTCTATCGAGAATATAAGTTCCTACTATCGGGAGTATGACTCCAAACTTATGTCTATGATAGAGTGTAATATTAAGCCGAAAATGACATTAAAAAAAATTGGAACGAACTCACCCGAATCAGGAAAAATTTTCGTCATTGGATAATAAAAATAATCCAGTGAGTTTCGAATATCATAACGTGTAATGTCCATATCATTATAATTTGTTCGATTAGTGATATGACTGCGTAAATGTCATAGTTTAATGTCAATACGAACAAAAATAATAATTCCACGTTAGATGATTATATGACATTATTGTAATAATGAGCATATGATGATTATTTGAATCATAACAGAATATGTCGTCGACGGTTCCATCTTTGGTTTGTGTTCGCTCGTTGCGGTCGCCAATTCTGTTGCGTGTTCCAAATACAGCTAACCAATATGTTGAGTGTTCGTTCGGCAAGGCATCCAATTTTGTTACGTGTTCGCATGTAGGGCTAACCAATATGTAGCCGTACGTTGAGGTTGCCAACTTTGCTTCGCGTTCGTAATTCGGGATCGCCAATAGTGTTGCGTGTTCGTACGTCGGGATTACCAATATGTAGTGTAGTGCTTCGTTAATCGATCGTCTTGATAACCGTTATTATAACAATCTGAACGGTGTATAATATCAGAAGACAAAGGGAAGCAGCAACTACATTTTTATTGATAAATAACATGGGCTAGAAGGCAGTGAGCACATTAGCAAATGTAAGCAAGCGAAGGAAAGATGACGCAGAGTGGAGATGGCTGGGAAGCCAACTCGTTATAAGCAAGCATTAATCAACATTTATAGTCAGGCTAAAATGAATGACAGACATGTGATAGGTAGGATAAGAAGGGTGCATACACATGCGCTCATATTAAAAAAATAGTCAAGGTCAATAAGCGAATAATTAACAAGATCAAAATATGACTCATAACGTTATAGGTGAATTGGCTTGTCCAGAAACTAGAATAAGCTATGTAGGTGTAATATAGTACACGACGTTACACTACTCCCCACAAACCTATAAAATACCGCTTAATTAGCTCAATGGAGAATCACAAATATTTCCATGGAGGTTAATGATATTTCGGTCTGTATAACAGCACAAGGAAAAAGTAATCTAAAGATGTTTATGATAGGATTTCTCATTTTAAACAGTTCTTGAAATAAATAGTTCCAACAGTACTAGGATACTGTTTAATGATTAGATTCTTATCACTTAGTCTCTGCAATGAGCACTTGTTATCGAGACTTTTGTTAAATGGTATTCCAATCCTAGACATTTCTGGAGTCTGTTACTTTCCAAGTCTTTTTTTAACTTATCTAGTATTATTGTTCAACGTAGATGATCATGAAACTACTACAAATTTATTATCACTTATTACTATCATGAACCTGTAGTGACCGGCCAGTCTCGATAAGAACACGATTGGAATAACAGAAACAATCATTATTATTGTAATCAATTGTACCAGAGATTTTTTTACTGTATTTGTTTAACTGTATCAGACTCACTTCTTGTTTCGCTATCCGCCTTGTTCGGTTCGAACTTTCTTACGCTCTGCCCATTTCGCCTTTACCCTTTGGCACGTCTCGGTATTATTTCGATACCACGAGATCGCCAATAAATATACTTGATCTGGATTAATAAAGCCTTCTGATTTACGAGTTATCAAAGGAACCAAGTCGTTTTTGGGCGCGTAATCGAATAGTAGTGGTGATCATAGTTCGTCTTCGACTCGACACCTACTACAAACCTCTAGACTAATAAAAACGTGGATTTAATCAGTTGTAATGATCATGGTGATAAACTTCTAAAGGATTCCACATTAAAACATGATACTTGACCGGTGTTCTTTGGTAGGTAAACTGAACTCAGGACATGAATAAAGCTATCTTTTACTCACATTCGTTTTTCCATCAAACAAATCCTGTTTGTTTGTATAAAGCAATGGTACTTTCAATAACCTCTTAAAAAACACGGACTATATCTGCATATTATATGAAGAACATATAAATATGTACCTCGTAGACGTTCAAGTAAGTTATAGCATCAAGATTTACTTTGTGTTTTTTAACATTCAATTGTTTGCATTATCATTACACTAATATCAAATTTTGTATTTCTTTTAAACAAGTAACCAAAAAGCAGTTTTATGTGTAATTTGAAGATAGTTTCTATCTTGCTATATATCTTGGTTGCTAACTCATATGTACTTCATTTTAAGTATTTTAAATGGATGTTCCAATCTAAAAATCTCATATTATCTGAAATAATCCATTCTATTTACCCGCGTAAAATAACCCGTGTTCCCATTAGTGGGTGAGTTCATTCTCTCATGAATTTCAGAATCACCTTTTACTGTACTCTAACATATTGCGTAATATTTCCACTAAGATGTTATGTGAAGACAACGTTAGAAGCTGGAAAATGAATATAAAGGTCTTATTTACGGATCCAATTCAAAACGGATGTGACTGGGTTTTCGACATCCATTAAGAGAAAATGGCATATGGATATCCTTTGGCGACCTGCTACCATGGGAGTAAACCTTTTGAAATCCTTCCATTGATAAATGGATTAAACTATTAGGTTGACGGCATAGTGGCAGTATTATGCGTTAATTATTTGTAACTAGACATTAGGACAATGTTAAACCATATACAAGTTATGAAAATCGCAAGCGAATATCATGGAGGATTCCGTTTACAAAGAAATGTGTTATACATCTAATCATCCAGTTATAATCAAGTTCAATTTTAATCATGACATCAATAACCTGTAATCAGACATGGTTTCGCTTTGAATTGTATTTCCTTAGAGGATTGTATGTAAGAAGTTTTATCCTCTCTAAGCAACCTTAGAGTGCTAAGTAGTTGCTTTCAAAATTAGCACTAATTGGGGGACATGATCTCATCTTCATAGTAAGTTATTCCTTATGAATCACAGTTAGTGTCACTCATCGTATCTAACCGATTTTCCATTCCACTTCAATGGCTATAAAATCACTTGACATTTAATATATATATGAACATACGACAGTAGCACAGATCCACCTAATATTCATCACCTTGACATTTCTAATTTATTTCAGCTTCTTGTCAATCCTTAGTTCTTTTCTAGTGATGAGTGGAATTAATGAGACCGTATATGTAACTTCGAAATTCGAAGTTGCATTGTTCCTACTGATGTGATCAAAGGAATTACAACAGGGCTGTTAGAATCATTAATTGTCACTGGAGTTAATGATAGATTTTGTTCCAACGATACGTAACGGTTGATATTCTTATTTAAAAGAAAAATATGCCTTGAAACTAACTGTATTTGTGCAAGAAGTCCCTTATGAAAATAAGACAAGAGATCAAATTGAAAACCTTCTCAATAAAAAGAACAAAGCAGGTAATAAACAACACAAGTGAAATTGAAAGCACTGTTAAACATTTGGAGAAAAATTATGAACAGGAATTTTTCAAATGTTCGGGTGTGTATCCAACACCATTGCACGATATGATTGAAGATTCATCATTTAATGTGGTTACTTCGAATTTAACCTACATAGAAACAGAATATATTTTGAATCTTAAGCACAGAAATATAAAAATGAAAAACATATACGCCTGGATAACAAAATACAAGCTCTTAGGCAAAGTGGATCATCTCAAAATAGGTACGATGATATCAATATCAGTACTCAGGAATCAAGATCTTAGACGGGGATTTCGTAAGTCAGAAGTGATGACGCGATTAGAATTTAGACGAAACTTAAGCATTATACCTTAGTTAGCCGTTCTAGAATAGAATTGTATTTCATTCTGTTTGAGAATAATAAACTGTTACAAGAAGTTGTGGTAAGTATTCCCTGATCAGCAAAAGAATGAAAATCCATAAAATAAGATCTATGGATAAAAAATTTTCGTGTTAATGACAAAATTTACTTGATTGGCAATGGTCCAATTAGAACAATTATAATAAACTATTATTATGTTTTAAGATAGTGCAACTATGAATGGCAGTCTAATCACAATAAAAAAAATTAATCACCATCTGTTGTTTAGATAAATGCCTGAATACCGAGGTTAAATAATAGCCAACAAACAGAAGTTCTACTGGACAGCCATTTCGTTCTATTGTGGGACTCTCCAGCAGTGCGCATCCACGATCCCGCCCCGCGAGACTCGAACCCAGGACCTATCGGTCTTACGGGCGAGCGCTTAACCTCTAGATCATTGAGCCAGCATCTAACTGTGTTAATGTCCAACTCCAACCAATCCACGAAATTCCATGGTGGTCTACCTTCAATTGACTTATGAATTCAACTATGAAATTACTTAAATCTCCACGAAAACCCTTCTGATAAAAGTTGTACTATTAGCTTTTAATGTGGAAATTTTAAGCGTATTATTCACGATACAGTTCCTTTTCTGAACTGAAATTTATCAGTTAATACATATCGAAAAAATTTTCACATCTTAAGAAATCAAAAATAATAAATTTACGTGATCTTTCGAAAACGGCGTAGTTTATTGGTGAAAGTTAACTGAAGCTCGCCGAACGGGCTCAAATGTGATATTTTTGTTTAGTTCCTTTCTACTGTCAAAATAAATGGACCGTAAGGTTATGGTCTGTTTGTCAATATATCTTCATATGACAGTGGGTAAAAAAGTATATTCCATGCCCCCATCAAGCTAATAATGGTGTACTTCTGTAAGACAGATCTAGGTTGATAGTAACTGGTATTGTATTCTAAGTTCGAACCCCGTTTTATCTGCTCCATCATTATGGGTTCCCGAATAGCAATGCTAGTTTGCACTCACTCAAAGTATCATTCAAAATTTAACACATAAATTTGGGCTTTGTAACGTTCGGAATTAATGTCATATTTGATTAGCCAACTAATACAAACCATATTCATAAGGGTATTATAAAAATAAAAGTACTTACAGTGAACACATATTCATTAACAAAATAAGTATTAGAAGTAAACTTCTATATGATTAATGTGCAGTAGTACTAAATAACTCACACTAAGTAAGTGCTCTGCAACATATATTGCAGTCTTTGTATGCAATGTCAACGGCCCGCACCGTATTTGTGAGTTTCCCTTAGCTAATGCCATAGGCATTATAAGCTATAACAAAATAAGATACTGATAAAATAATACATCTGCATTGTTAATGAGAACTAACATAATATAGCAAGTCAATCTAATTCTTGTAATGGACAGTTAACAATTTTGTGGGAAATTTTCAGATTTGACTAATTCTATTAAAATAGTGCACTCACAATCGAAATGTTCAAGATAAGATTAGTGTTTTCTCTATATTTATATTCAACAGAATTTTCTATTCCGTTTTAGTCAGTCAGTAACAACGTAGAACATTTGTACATTGATTCAAATTGTCATATCTTATTAGCACAGAGAGATAAAATTGTCAGGCCAAATCCCAGAATAGTAGAGGTAGTAACAGTATCCGTTGCAATAGTAATGATTAGGCACGGAAGATACGATTCCGTCAAAAAAGTTGATGAACTTAGAATCTCAGACTTTGAGAAAAGACAAAGAACGGATGCACCTGGGCCATTGAAAACGATTTTGATCTATACCAAAGTCTCTAACCATTGGTTATGATAATCATGCGGACTCCAACCAGGTATTCCACACCTATTAACATGGCATAGTCCGACTCTTAGTGACTTTATGAACTGTTGACATGTTTTAGTTTGGCCACCGCTAGCTTTCAGCATATTACTACACCAGACAAAATCACCCGTCAAGGTAGGAGAAAGCTGGGCATATGAAGCACATGTCTCGAATACAGGTGAATATTTACTGGCTGACCAAGCGATTTGCTATCTTCGCACAGTACCCTATTCCTGAACCATGCATTGTTTACTCTGTGGTTCCACAATACGCGAGCAGTGCTGTGTAGGCACCTACGGTTAAATATTATGAACCTACGAATATCCTCTACTTTTTATGACCATGTTTCATACCCATAAAGAAGAGAAAACTGACAGGTAGTAAACTTGTTCTTTGGTTGGGAGACGAACATCTCACCTACACCACAAGTGATGCAGGTTGGGAAAAGTCAATCGAGTCTTCCGAATCTGTGCCGAGATTTTGTCAAACATCAGCACTAATGAGAGTCCCAAGATAAGTGAGGCGGTTGGTGCGCTTAGCTACATTCTTCTCCATCACTAATATAGGCGCTAAAGCATGTCAATCCTGAAGCAACACTTTGCATTTGGAGGGATAGAGTAGCATCTCAAATATGCTGGCATTGTTCCTTAAAATGGTCAGATAACTATTTCTTTGATTTCTTGATCAAACAGAACTAGATCTATGTATTTTAAGTCGACAAGTGAAGCTCCTGGTAGACCAACCCCCAAATTCAGACGATAAATGTTCTCTTTAAAACTATGCATATGACACAGTTAGGTAACAATGGGGAATCAGGATAACACTGGCGAACACCACTTGAGGAAACCGATTCTGACAACAGTTCGCCATAAGCTATGACTCAACCAGTAGTGTTCGAGTAGAAAGCCTGTACAAAATTAATGTACTTCTTCGGTACGCCTTTCAATGATAGACTGCCGCAGAACCTCTCAATCAACAGAGCCGAACCCCACCTTAACGTGGAGGAATACAAATATTGCCAGATGCTGTAATGTATGTTTATGTTCCAGAATCTGCAAAGCGTGGATATTTTGTTGCATACATCCAAGTCCAGGTCTGAAACCAATCTGGTTTTCTTGGGTTTGCTCTTCACAAGCCCTATTCAGACATCAAAGTATTATTGAGGTCAATAATTTAGACACTGTATTAGTTAAACTATATCAGTTTGTGATTGTCATGAGATTTTTGTCCTTTCAGAGATCGAGACCAGTCAGATGGGATTATGTCCAGATCTCAGGTCCTAGCTAAGATTTCAGTTAATCTAACTGCTAAAACCGGACCACCATCCTTAAAACTCTCAGGGGTTAGTCCATAAGGCCCCGATGCTCTCCCTCACTTTAGACCTCCTGTAGCCATTGCAACCCTATTAAGAGTTGGAGGACACACATCTCACTCATATTGATTGCAGATAGTGGGTAACTGAGGTGTGGATGAAGGCCAGTTGAACTATTCCCTAAAGTGTTCTGCTCATAGGTTCAATCTCCTGCGTTATGAGTGAATAATAGTTCCACACTTTTCCGAGATAGTTTCACCAACAGACCAATTCTTAATATCGTTTTCTTGATAAGTCTGAACAGTTGTCTACTGTTACCTATCACCGCTGCCTGTTTCATTTCTTCTGCTTTCGCTAACCACCACAACCCATTTTATTTGCAATGAAACAACAAGAAAAGAGCGTTACACAACCGACGATTTGAAAGTGTGTACAATCACACTAAAAATATCTCGAAGCTTTTGTTTTTTCCATACATGTTACACATATATAATTTAACTAAATGTATCAATTGTTTCAAGTGGATTTATGAAGATCGCACTGGATGATAGCCAACGGAGTTCATATTTGCCAATGGAAGTTATTGTGACCCTTTCAAAGAATAACTCACTACATAGGTATCAGTGCCCACGTTGAACTTGATAGTTTCGAATAAATTGAGCATTAGGGTAGAAAATTTGTATTTCTAAAGCTTCATAACTTCATGTAAGCCTCTTCTTCGGAGCGAAAAAATAGCCGAGTTAAATTAACATAACAAAAAATATATTTCTTAGTAATTCATTACGGATATAAATCCTATAGGAACTCAAATATATAAACATTAGAATAATGATGAACATATGAAAACATACAGTCAGTAACCCTAACAGTACATAAGATATTGTTTTTATACATGGAGTTAGACTCAGGTGAAAACACAGATTCATTGTCAAAAATAAAAAAGCGTCAGTATTGATAACAGAATACACGATTCTGAAGTTTATGTATGATAAACGCACCTGGTCTTGCATATAATCATCACAACATATTCCAGTTTTGAAATAATTATAAAGCGACTGACAGGCTTCTGAGACCATGTGCCTGTAACGATGACCTCGAGGATTAATAATTCCAGAAACGGCCAGACGGCAATCTGTTGAAGTATGTATAACGAACCTAGTGTAGACAGACAAAATTTTACATGAATACAAAACAAGTGTACCTTAACGCTTGCACATATACATATCCTAATAAGGACTAACAACTGATCCTGTGATATGTGATGAAGAACCTGTTAGGATCTATCTTTCTGTTCAACTATCAATATAGGGTCGTGGAGATTGTTGAGCTGTAGTTATAATCATTAACTGATTAACGTTAGACCACAACTGGAAACCTGGAAGAACTAGACGGGCTTCTCGTCCTAGTACACTACTCCTCAGCGGTGTGGCAAGCTAATGTAAATCCTCCAACTCTTTACGAGGTTGAAAAAGCTATAGGAAATCTAAAGCGAAAAAGAGTAGCAGGCGCTGACAGGTTTACCCCCAAGATTTTTAGGGATAGCGGTCCAGTACTAGCAGCGAAATTGACTGAGATCTTAGGTAGAATCTGGGAACTGGACGTAATTCCATCTGACTGGTCCCAATCACTGATTGTGCCAGTCTATAACAAAGGACAAAAGTCCTCCTGTGACAATCACAGAGGAATCAGTTTGACTAATATAGTGTCTAAAATATTATCTTCAATAATACTTAGACGCCTAACCAAAGCTTGTGAAGACAAGACTAGAGAAAATCGGGCTGGTTTTCGACCTGGACGTAGTTGCATAGACCAGATATTCACTCTACGTCAGGTCCTAGAACATAGACACACATTGAGACGCCCCACAATAGTAGCAGTTTTTGATCTTAAGGCGGCACTTGACTCCGTTGATCATGAGGTTCTATGACAGTGTTTGTCACTGAAAGGAGTACCAAAGAAGTGCATTAACCTTATAAAGGCTCTCTACTCGGACACAACTGGTAGAGTTAGAGCCTATGACGAACTGTCATCAGAATTGGTTACCTCAAGTGGTGTTGGTCAGGGCTCTCCACTCTCCCCATTCTTGTTTAACTTTGTCGTTGACATGCCTTTAGCGATAACATTTTCATCATCTAAATTTCCAGTTGAACTTTTACCGGGAGGCTCACTTGTTGACTTAGAATACGCCGACGACATAGTTTTACTCGGTGAAGACGCTGACAACATGCAGCCTTCTGACCACTATAAGCAACGATGCAGGCATGTTCGGGATGCGATTCTCTCCCTCGAAGTGCAAATTGTTACTTCAGGATTGGGTTGCATCGACACCTGAACTAATGATAGGGTGTGAAGTAGTTGAGCGTGTTGACTGCTTCACTTATCTTTGGAGTCTCACCATCCTTTGTGGTGTGTGACGAAATTTTAGCACGGATTCAAAAGGCTTGTCTAGCTTTCGCCAACTTGCGTCACTTATGGTGTAGGCGAGATATATGTCTACCAGCCAAAGAACGGGTTTATTGCGCAGCGGTTCTTCCCGATAAGAATAGAGGATATTCGTAAGTGTCTTCCAAGCATTGCTCGTATATCCTGGGACCACCGAGTAAGTAATGCAGTTGATAGAAAATGGGTACTAGTTAAGGATGGAAAATCGATCGATGAAGTAGTGAAGCTTCATCAGTTGAGATGGCTGGCTGTTACGTATGCCCAACCACCAACTGCCCCGACGTGCAATGCTTTATGGTGTAGGAGTAGCTTGGAAGAAAGCTAGAGGCGGCCAGACCAAAACGTGGCACAAGTCCATGAAGTCATTGAAAAGTGAACTGAGCCAAGTTGGTAGGTGTAGACTAACTGGTTGCGATCTACGAGATGATAACAACCGAAGGTTAGAGACCTTGAATGACGTGGCTCAAAATCGTTTGCAATGGCGAAGGTGCATTCACTCTTTATGTTCTGCCGAATTCTAATCTTCTGAATTCTCTATGTCTCTATCTTTTCACTTTCCAAATTTATTTCACTGGATTATACTGCTTGAATAACATCTTCAAATTCTAATCTTTCGGATTATTGCTTATACTCTTACCACTTCTACCACTATGAGATTTAAATCGACAATTTTATATCTGAGCTAATGTGGTATGGCGACTCGAACTGATGTACGTACGTTATTTTATTTAAACACATAAATATTGGATGCAACTTAGTATTGTTTGTATCCATCTCTGCTAAACATAAATATTGGTACAAAGGGGCACCAGATGCATATGCGCCACACAAATCTCATTTGATTTGTGTGAGGGCTGTGATACTGCCCGGGTGTCCAAACCGAATTAGGTGGTTTTCTTAGGAGGCCACACCCGGAGCCTTTGACCTAAAGGTCTGATCCACAAGACAGTGGAGCATCGTAAAGAGATGCAGTTCCATGGTGGCCAGTGACCAACGATCGATTCGTACGCCATTTGTTCCCTCAGGATCCTAGAGCTCATGTGCACGATTGGTTTGGAATCAAGGTTTTCCAACTCCCCTAGGTGGATGCGCCGTGTCCAGCAACCTGGTTAAAGTGCCGGACATTCGCTTATCGTCCTCTCGGTTTTGTAATCAACACCACCGCCACAAGAAAGCAGTGAGTAAGACTTCCCTGGCAGAGACTGTATACGCGTGGCCGTGTGAGAACATTTCGAGAGAGCAGACTCTCCCCATTCTCGGCCGTACCATGGCATTTGGGAACATGTACGTACTTACAAAGTTCTGCGCTGTGACTGACTGACCTAAATCAAACATTCACGTCCTGGTATGAAAATTGTCTGATTTTTCAGGTGGGCTACTCACAAACCTCGGTGAACCGTTTGATGACTACTGAGGGTGATACTTTAGACAGAATATTAACTAAAATGATTTCCCTGTGGTTATCACAGGAAGGCTTTTGTCCTACCTTGTATTCTGGAACGATTATCGACCGAGGATAGTCAGATGGGATTACATTCAATTTACATACTGTAGTTAATAGTGCGGTCAACAAACTGCAAAAACTGAACCACTAACATCAAGTATAACTACAGTTAAATTATCACGGTTTGTTAAACTATTTCGTCCCAAGATTACATTTACTCTTTTCAACCCTTTTAAGATCTGGTGGACTTGAGTCAATTTCTCACTCAGTTTGTTTGGGAACAGAGGCTAATTGGAGGACGATTGAATAGTTCCATTAAGTGTTCAGCACATCTTTGTTAACTCTTAAATTGACAGTGAATAATAACTCTTCTTTTTCGAGATAGTCTCACTGGCATGTGCATTCAGTACCTGTTTTCTTGATCAGTAGACAGAGTTGTATAGTATTACCTATCGACTGTCTTTCCCATAAATCTTGGTTTCGTTGTTCAATGCTCCTCAACATCGTTGTATGAACATTTCGTTAGTTTATGCTTTAGTCTCTTTTGTTCTTTATCGCTCCCAGAGACTGTTGAGATTGGTTATCGATTCAGCGGATGTCTTCAGAACATATTGATTTTTTATAACCTTTTGGTTTCAGTTGTTGATAGATGTTATTACTGTATTAACAGCTGCCTAGATATCTTTTTAGGCTTCTTCAAGGTAAACTGGTTCTCTACGATAGAATAAGTGGTTACACAATGTTTTCTCAAATGGATCATTGACCTTTTCATCTTTGAGTCGATATCTGAGTAATCCTCCTGTTGTGAGTTTCTGACGTCTATTTAGATGTATAGAAATGCGCTTCATCATGAAGGTAAGATCGGTGTTCAGGATTGTATTCTAGTGGGAGCGCTAGTCATTTATTGGGCGTCTCCAACGATGCTTAGTGGAGATATGGTTCATTTGTGCCAGTTGTTACGCTGGTATCAGCAGTCGCCAGGTAAAACACTGGCTTTCCTGATGCTTACTTACTAGGAATAATCGGTCGTCTGAGAAAAATTGTAACGGACGGTTACCGTTATCTGATCGTCAGGCTGTGACGCCGTAAGACCTGACTAAGTGTTTTCTAGTTTAACTTATGCGACTTATTTGGACTCTACAATCCCCTACCACGTTTGGGCATCTTGCTTTCCGAAAGAGAAAATGAAGTTTCCTGCAAAACTTGTATTTACTGAATCTGAGCTGCATTTAGTGAGGGCATAAACAAAAATGACAAAAAGGTCAAGATTTGTCAAAACCTTTCCCAATTTTTACTGCATACTTGAGACGGACATCACAAGAGATTTTCGACAGTAAGCTAGTCGAGAACCACTTGTCCTGTTTTCATACAGAAGCATGACCAAGAGAAGTTGGTAGCGTCTCCAGACAGACGAAAGGTAAGTTTCGTTGGATCTTTATGTTGGCTAATTAGGGTTGGATGAATGGACATGCTGGGATACTTTATGCATGCTTCTAGAACACGGTATATATTAATAGCACGAAATTATACAGTCGCGGCTAGTAACCTCAGTTGTCCAATTCGACACAAGGTTCAGACATTATATATGGTTTGAGGTGCAGTTTTAGGAGACCTGTGATAACATTTTGTGACAGTTAACATTGGTAACGCATGTTGAAGTTGAAGATATGAAGATTGATATTAGAAGTAGGAACAATATTTGATAGTGGGGTTTGATCATAAACGAGGTGGCCTTGTGTGTTGTCAGAGTCCACACTGGAATTATGATTATCATATTCAATAAGCAACATCAGCATAAAGCTTGTGAACGTGTTATTGTTGCTCTTACTAACTGCCATGTATTCATAATTGGCGGAAAACAAGTAATAATATAATTATTTAAAATGAATGTCTAGCAAATCACAAAATAAAATATTTAGTGACGCACATAAATGCCGCAACGTCGCCCTGACAACGATCACCGCTTTCTTGGAACGAATCAATATTTATAGGACATGAGAAACATTTGCTGAGACAACGCAACGCTTCATCTTTCACTTCATGAGCAATCTAAATTAATTTGATCAAAAACAATAAATTTTCAAAGGATGCTAATATCAAGGTGCAACTAAACTCCGTAAGATTAATTTTACTGAGTAAATAACGACAGAGCATTTTATAACTCAGCTTTTATGTGATCTGAAATAGTAAACGATATTTTTCAGTAGTCACACCACTAACATTGCTACTGAATACTTATGCAAATGTAGCAGAACAATGTTTCGGGAAGACGAACACCTGAACACCGTAAGTTACACAACTAATTTCACATTAAAAAGACGTAAAATGGTGATAATTTGAATGACGAACAATTTCTAAGAATGAAAGTAACGCTGTAGACTGGTCTCAAAATGCAAATCAACTTGTTACGTGCCAAGGATTTTCAAAGAGTGGCATAAATGAATTAATATGTGCTACACATCCAGTGTATTATTTATTGAACTATGTAAAATCCGTGCACACCAATAACGCTTAGAAAAGGCCAACAACCACTACTACGTCAATACCATCAGCTGTAGATCTCCAAGTCACATGCTACAATGCTAGATGGGAATTCTAGGTGATTTATAGTCACCACGAAACCTGTGGGTCAGAACTTGGATACAAGTTTTGAGAATTAACAGTTGTCACCAAGCATAGGTAATACATCATACACGTAAGACCACAAATCTTATTATCTAGGGAATCAAGGGCCACTCATATGGTCGTTATTGCAGATAATACAGATATTTAGCAAAATATTTTAAAATGCTTATTTCACATGGACAAAAAATTAACCACACATGTACCAAATAGGTCATTTTGAAAGTACAAAGTAAATTATTTTAGATTTAACAACAAGTGACATTACCTTTAGTGGAACTTTACCTGCAACAAGAGAATAACCAGTGATAGTCTCAACGGTTCCTGCATTTAATAAAGAAATGGGGGAAAGTGGCTCTTTTAAAGGTGAAAGCAGCATTTTGACAATCCCTCCACCTAATGGATAAAAACCCCTGCCTTCATAATCAACGATTAATAAGCACTCACCGTCGAATGATTTTTACCTCACAAACCAAACCCATTTTCCTAAAATAATGTGATGTTACCTGTTAAAACTTAGTCTTTGTATTTTTGTAAGTTACTTCAACCATGTAGCTGATCGGAGGTGCGAACGATGTGTCTGTACCACCACGCAACAGAAGTTCACTCGGACTGGATGCAAACGCTAACACTGGCGCTACAGCTTGTAGCATCAGTGAGACTGACCTTACGTAAAGCTTGTACATAGTTTATTGACATACCCTGCTGTTTTAGCATCAGCTTCATACGAACCGGAAGAAATCTGACCGGGTATTAACCGAATTTTCGTAGATCCAATTGCACATGACGATAAACGACCACAACACACTCTACTAACAAGTTCGAGAGCAGCTGCGTGTTGACTTCTGGGAACGAAATCTACCATTAACAAAAATAACCACCTGAGACCTGGGTTCTGTCGGCCAGCTCGAATATTGTACACCTCGATGGGTTTTTTCGTTATCGCTGCTATTGAAACAGCGTTACGTAGGATTTGGCCGCCCTAAACGAAAATGATTCTCAGACTTTAGATGAACATACACTCTCCATCACAGACCCATCAACTAAGGTTACATGAAAGCTATCCAATTCAGCCATCCCACTTGCGAACAAACCTGTGACTTTCGATCTTAAGCACTTTGAGTCTAGATTGACGGCACTTTGTGTGTTGGGGGATTGTACAATCCCGTGTGTGAGGAAAACTGGTAAAAAGATGCGAGCAGAAGAATTTGAAAGCACATAGCACGCGCTTACATTTAAGAGCGAAAGCAAGTAGTAATGGTCAGTAATTGCATAAAACTACAACAAAGTGATAGACACGTCACCGTATCATGAGATTTCGAATTCGTACGAAACCGTTATTTTGTACGCTGCGCGAGCAACAAAAATTCAAATATCACTCCGAGGAAAGCAGGAAACGAAACCCTTTCAACTCCAAGGTTATAAGAAATAGTCACTAAAGGTTGATCAAGCTAGACTAATAAATATACGCCAAAATGGCAAAAGAAACCTCGTGGAGATGGCTAGGAATTATCGAAAAGATATATTGTAGAGCTCAATGAATTCCCAATACAAATAGTTTTGTAGGTCGTCTGCATTTGATCATGACCTCATTAGTTTTACTGGACACATCTAGCTGAATATGCTCGACCACACTTCCGAATTAGATCACCTGTGGGTACGCCGTACTACTCATCTCTTACAACCGTTAACCAGCTTAGATTGAACACTTCCCGTATATCGATATCCTTTCAAGTATGTCTTCGAACCCCTTCATTCTTGAATTCTGATTAGACTGTATTGGCACACTTCGAGTATAAAGATGTTACATGTAAAGATTATGTCAAACTCCGAACACCTATTGCATGTTTAATATATTTAACGTCATCACGTCGGCAAATTGTAGCGTAGACCAAAGTCACTGAGGTTCTCCCGTTCATTTAGTTGATGACTTATGTTCATCACGTATTGGTTTCATTAGAGAATTGGTCGGAGCCATGACTTACGGTATGTTTGTATATTTCGTCCTCCATGTACGGCAGCATTACTATGGACAATGTCTTTCCAGGTTGAAATGGCATTGCAGTTGCTGAAGGCTTGAGATTAGTCACAGTTTTAGTAGATGATAAAAGCGGAATTTTCTGTCTTTTTCTCTGTCCATTTATTAACGCTTTAATTATATATTTTTACTGAAATTTTTACTGAGAAAACAACGCCTTTTTATCATTTATGGTTAAGTTGTAGTCACTTATGGTTGATTTATGAGATATTTCAGGTTAATTAGTCATGTTTAGCCCTCTTAAGTACTAGACCTACTCAGATGAAAAGATTACTAGGATAGTTCGTGCAAATACACTTGACTTTTGTGGGACTGAATTTGTTCAATATAACACTAGTCATTGAAGAAACTCGTTAACCATGAAAATTTATCAAGTTGGGTTGTTTAGTTCGTAGGGGTAGACAAATCCCCTAAAATGAATAGTTCTATAAGTTTTCAACATTGATGCTGACCTGATTAGTTTTGCTAGATATACTTTAGCTGAAGGAGCTCGGTTAATCAGCCGTGCCAGATAACGAGTAGGTACCTGGCACCACAACTACTGGCCAGCTAAGATTAAGCGCTTCTCAGCATACCGACAAGCTTACAAATATATCTTCTAACCCATTCATCGCTGACTTCTGACGTCACTGGGTTTTTATCCTTCAATCATAAAGATGTTTCGGATAAATGCGCTGTTAAACCCTGAATATCTGTAATATTTTAGAACTTTTCTCCTCTTATCAGCCTAAGCTTGAAAATAAGAAGCGAAACATTTTCTGGTGCTATAGTATAAATAACACCTGCAGGCTCTAAACTTGCAGCTTGTGTAGTACAAAAAATTGGAAGGGTATGTTCATGCTGGATAATGTCACTCAATAATCCCCTCACCATCAGGTGTCAATTCTTCATCTTACTACTAAATTGCACCTGTGAGAATATTCATTTGGTAAAGAGGACGAACGAGACTGGATGAATGCTTGACAAAATATTTTGTGCCCGGCATCGTTAAGTTATGGAACTGTTTACCAGAGGCGATGGTAACGACACCTTCTACAGAGTCTAATAAAAGACGGTTAGATTAAGTTCCAAGTCGGTATTAATGAACTTATCTATGCTACCAGAATAATAAACGTAGTCGAAAATTCTGGACTACACAATCTATCTGACCATACGTGGAAGTCACATTATTTATGCCAACTCACCCTACATAGCAGTCCGTAACAAATAGTCTGCTATTCCTACCTAGCAAAGTCCACAAGTTTGTTGTGCAGTGAATATGCACGATGTATGCTATTATAATGCCTTCGCGGATGGACCGACGGAAAACATCCAACAAAAGAATGCGCAAACGGATGTCATGCAAGTAAGTCAGTGAGTATCCTTCTTAGTGTCCTTTGGAATTGTGTCTCACTACAATATGAAAGCTAATAACTGCTGGCAATAGCTTGATCACCGTAATATCGAGGAACGTAGACTATAAAGTGATTAGTAGTCAACAATAAACAACCACGTACGAGGTTATTTTATTACTCGTCTAACACAAAAATGAAGAGTCTAAACGACAACATAGTATGAACATAAAATTGATATTCCTCCATCAACTAAAGTCCCAATGACCGAAACTGTATTTCTGATTTACTTTCGACTTACTATTGTTAAGTGTTATCATAAAATAATGACATAACTACGATCAACCGACATATAAGCGGCCCCACAGTACCTAGTCCATATCTAATAAATGATACCTAGAGCTGGTAAAGAAGCTGCTTGCCCTCATTTTAGAACTTCCTCATGTCAGCTGGCAGTCTGTATTAGACAAAGATAATCTACTAAAACCCCAACTACTGACCGCTAGTTCCAAGAAGCATATAGCTGTTGTAAGATGTAAGGTGAATAGGTAGAATTAAGTAGCAATTAGATACAGATTTTCTAACTCATGACACAAACTCGGTGCCATGTGTATACTAAAAAACGATGCACAATGACAAGACTTGTTGTGATACATGATAATATTTGTACCTTTAAAACAAACATGGACTTCCGTAGTAATAGTCCCTCGAAGAGTTCAAAAGATCATTTTTACTCAAATATAAGTTTTTTCTTCCATCTCAAATTGTTGAATTAAACGACCATGAATTACCTAAGCACTAAGCTTTAATGAAGCGAGCTATTTAACATTTCTATTGTAATTCTCTTCTTCATTTCTAATCTGGCACAGCCTAATGTTTTTTAAGTAACTCAAAAAGTTTGAGGTAAAAAATTATTAGCGGTATATCATTTGGAGCTGTATCGTAATTGACTTTTCGATTAATGCGTACATTCTGAATGTAGTTAGTCTTTGATGGGTGTATTAATGGGCTGCATGACGAATGTTAAATTATAAGAGACCCTCGTATTTGTTTTACCCAAGCTCTGAGCTCGATTTCATTGTAATTTTGGTATTGAACGTTTAGTTTAAAATTTGGTTAATTGTCCTGCAATCTGAGACCGAAAATCTAAATGTTGAAGATGCCTATTAGACTGACCTAGTAAGTCAATCAAAGGCAGTCTAATGGGAAGGTCAGTCAATGGCAATCAGAAGTGACCTAATTAACAAGTACATTTCACTTTATAGGCAATGGGTTAACTTCCTGAAAATCACAGTGGTATATCTTAAGGAATATTTCTGTTCGGTAACCCGATTTCGGTGAAAACACAATAAAAAGTTTTGGAGAAATGGCACAAAACCCCCAAAATCTCCCTAAAAACATTGAAATTTCTGGGAAATCTCCCAAATCGCTGTGGAAATTTTGGCACTCCCTTAATACCTACACAAAATTTATTCAGAATTTTCGAAAAAATTGGGGAAATCAATCTATGTTCTTCGACTAAACCTCAGTAGTTTATCGCATTTCGGGCGCACTACTCACAAGTTTCCGTTCTCTCTAATACTTTCCAAAACCTCAGGGAAACTCCTTTACGTTCTATCTCTAAAAAAACTCAAAAAAGCATACGGACTTCAACCAATCGGTTGAACTTCCGTGAAATTACAAGCAATAATGGACAACTACACTAAATAGTAGCCTGCTCATCAATCTACAAAATTAATAGTAATTCTGAGGGAGTTTTGTGGAGAATTTAGTATTTTCATAGTTGAAATCATGGGTCAATTGAAGATAGACCACCATCGAAAACCTGAATGCAATGGACAGCCGTTTCGTCCTATTATGGGACTCCTCAGCAGTGCGCATCCACGATCCCGCACGCGCAAGATTTAAACCCAGGACCTACCAGTCTCGAGCTGGAGCCCTTAATCGATAGACCACTGAGCCGGCATCCAACGGCGTTAATGTCTAACTTCAAAATCGTGGATTAATAATAATTTTCATGAAAAAGCTATCGGTGTTCAAATAGTATTTTCTTCACTAAATTTTAAAAGCACGCCTCATCTTCCCAATTCAAGAAATTGTTTGCCAGTTTCTGAGAAATTTTGAGGAAGTCTCTTCAGACAATTTTGGGGAAATGGCTCAAACACCCAAAACTTTTCCCGAAACTGACAAAAATTTCCTAACAATGGGGAACTAAGTAGTACCACAGTCTTTAGCTCTGTTATGAGATGTGGATTTTATGTTTTTAACCGTTTTCTTTGCTCCAAGCTCACTGAGATTCCTAGGTTTTTTAATACAGTAGGGTGGAATTTCCGTTGGAGTAAATCCCCAGATGAGATCATTATTATTCCAAAAACATCTTATGGGTACATAGGTGTTGTGAAGAAACCATTTGGGATTTTTTCAGAATGCAATAATATACAAGTTTCAGTAATGTTAGCACTATATTTGCCATACTTGAGGAAGAGAAAAGAAAGAAAATAAAATGAAATGATTATAATAGAACAATAATAATAAATCAAGTTCTGTACAACTGAGGATAATCAATATGTATGAGTCGTGTATGTATAGTGAAGATAAAACAAGTCTGAGTTGATTTAAGCGTAATCCAAGTTGTGTATATTCTCAGACCAGTCGGCTTCTAACTAACACAAACTGCCCACTTGGAGGTATTGGTTCAATCAATCAACCAACGATTCCAAAACACAAGCCGTTTCCATCTTACCGTGTTGCTAATTTTACACACCACTACCTCCGAAATGTGTACTAACTCCCATACTGGACTATACAGTCTTACTAACAATAATTTTCTGAGGTATGAAAATATATCCCCTGTTTCTATGACCAATGTCCAATGTTCCAAAAGTGTTCTATCCATAGCTTTTGCTAAATGTTGATGAGTGAATAGAACTTCAAAGTCGAAGGTACAAGCTTAGTTTAAGTATCTCTGTATGTTCATGTTCATACATAAGCTTGCAAACCAAGGAGGTCTGTGGTCTGTAAAGGCCTGACAGTAGACATTTTGCCAACCCATAAATATAGGAAGTCTGAAAAGCAGAATTTCACACTGAATTTAACGAGGAATTAAAAACATGATAAACGTTTCCACGCTGTTGCTAGTTGATAGTCTGTGTACTATCCATACAACTCATATTTGTATCAAGAAAAATAAAGTCCCTGTACCCACGAAAGTCAACAAGATGTGACAACATTCGCCACGTAGTCATAAAACAATGCATCGTCGGTACACTGATAGTTTACCTGTTCATATTGTTACTAGGGTTGTATCAACTTCTAATGAAGTGGAAATAGGGTTCTCTCCCTCCCAACCATAATACTGTCAAAATCTGCCAGAGGACAGATTGACGAACAAATGAGGAAATACATGAACAAGTGAGGCGTCCTTTACAAAG